CCTAAACAGTAATTGTAAACATCTTGCACGTAGGACCATTAGGTCATTAGTTCGAGACACTATGAGGAGAATTGGGGAACCATTAACTATCCTTCTAATTAAAAGAAAAAAAAAAGAAGAAAAAAAACTATTTTACAGGCGAATATTAATTAGGGGCAAATTACAAGGACCCCTGCCTGAGGTAATGTGTAATCACGAAAAACAAACCTTCCATGTTTGCTTGATTACGAGCGCTCCTGAAACTAACAATCTGCAAAAAAACACTAAAGTAATTGCCTAAAATATGCATGTGTTCAAATAGTTAAATGAAAGAAAATATATCATAAATTCAATTTTCTGAGTTCTTACATTTGGTACCTCATGCAATATAAAACATTATAAAGAACCCCATCTAAAGCAAAAATGGCTAGTTAATACTTAATAGTAAACAAAAGAAAGTTAAATAAATAAAAAAGAGTTTAAAAAAATATAATTGTTTAAAAATGTACAAAACAATATAAAGACTAAATATTTAATTTATACGGTCGACTAAATTTTTCGAGATAGGGAGTATAACAATAATTAGTCGACCATATATTAGTAGAGTTTATTGCAATTACTACCCCTGTGAAAACACAACTGTGCGTTTCCCCCTCTGTCATAAAAAAATTTAGCAAATACCCCCTATATTTATGTTTAGATATACTCGACCCATTTCTCTTTTTCCCGTTGACCCGTTGTGAAAGGACTGAATTGGATTTTCCGGAAAATACATTATATTTGTAAAATTGAGCTAATAGCACAGAGCCCCCTGTGTTATTTCTAATTGGCATAAAAGTCCTCATGATAAAATAATTAGCAAAGACCCCCTTATGTTTGGTTTTAAATAGCACACAGCCCCTTTTATCAGATTTAAATTGTTGACTTAAATGAAATGACAAAATTAACCTTGATTTAAAACCCCAATATACCGAAAATCCAATTGAAAATTCGTGAAAAAAAAACAAGAAAAATAGAGAAGAGTCTTCTTGTTTCTTCAACAATCAGCAAATAAGCCATTTTTATTGTTTCCCTTCTTCCTTCAATCTTCCATCACCATACCCAACCGCCATTACCTCCACCCGCCGCCGCCGCCGCCCCATACTCTGCCGGTGTTAGCCGTCACCACCATACCCAACCGCCATTACCTCCATCCGCCGCTGCCCCCGCCCCATACTCTGCCCCCATACGCTGCCTCCGTCACCATACCCACCCGCCGCCGCCGCCCCATACTCAACATGCTCGTGCCCCTTCTTCGTCGACGGAACTGTGGAATATGTCGCCGGTTGAAGTGGTCGGAGTTTCTCGGGAGAGATGGAACAGAGGAAAGGCAGATTTGGGAGTGGGGAGTTTTGGTGAGGTACCTTCCAAACTTTTTGCCAGAAAAAAAATATGTTTGCAAAGAGGGCACCATCAGAAAGCATTGTGTGTGTGTTTTGCGTGAAAATTGTGGAGAGTTTGATTGGGGATGAGATGATTTGGAGAGAGGGCATTTTAGAAATTGTCAAGGGCTGAATTGAAAATTCTTAAAGCTTCAATTTGGGGTTATGAAAATTTTGGGGCCAATATGTAATTTTCCAATTTTTATTTAAAGGGTATTTATATATTTTCAGGTCAAAATATGCACCCCAGCCGCACAATGTGCGCGTGCAGGACACAATAAGATGTTAGGGGCCTTATTGGCTTTGACTAACTTTCATAGGGGGGTTCTTGCTAATTTTTTTAACACGAGGGGTTTTTCAGCAATTAGAGATTACACAAGGGTGGTTCTTGCAAAAAACCCGTAATTTTATTATCCTCCTCGGTCTTGAGCCTTACTATGAGTTCCTCCATCGTCCATTTGGCAACCGATTTCTTGTGCCTTAGGTAGTGTTTGAACTCCGTCCAACTCGGTGGAAGCTTTCCAATTATGGAAGCCACTGATAGGATTCACTCACCTCATGACCCTCAACGAGAATATCGTAGATCATGAGTTGGAGTTCATTCACTTGCTCACTCACAGTTTTGCTATCGACCATTCGATAAAATTGGAATTTGTCTATTATGAATTTCCTATATCCCGCATCTTCTGACTTGTATTTCTTGGACAAACTATCCCACAAAAGTTTAGCAGTCTTTATAGGACTATAAACTTTGTACAATGGTTCGTCCAAGCAATTCAAGATGTAGTCACGGCATAGGAAATCAGAGTGACTCCACGCATCAATGGCTAGGAAGACTTCCTTGTTATTTTCGGGAGTTTCTCCTTCCTTCGCTTTAGGTGCCTCCTCGTTGAGGAACTTAGCCAAATTCATGGTAGTAAGGTAGAAGAACATTTTGTTCTTCCACGTAGCAAAGTCCATGCCCGTGAACTTATTTGGTTTTTCGGCCGCGCCGACAACCTTAGGAGCGGCATCATTGATTGAAGCCATCTACACGATTTTCAGATTTATAAAAAAAATTAAACTTGTAAACCAAAATAATTTGTCACATAATACTGAAGACAAATTATTCATAAAAAATTGATGTGAACAGTAACATTACACATGTTTTCAAACAAAATATACAATTAATGATTTTTGTTCTCCACGCATAAGATCTGATGGAAATATGTAAGCATCAATATCTTTTTAAATGATAGTTCACGTATAGAATTCATCTACACAGTTTATGATGGACCATTAAAATACAATTTCTTATCACATAATTGATTTAAAAACTAATAATGGCGCAAGAACCCCAAATTTGGACTATTCAACACAACACTATTTTGAAACTCAACTTGTTTTTCCACTAACTTTTCCAACACAATGGATTAGTTTAAATAAAATATATATTACCATGAATATAACTATAGTCACAAGTTTCGAACAGATTTTACCGCATATGTTTATAAACCAACATAATATCAACAAATATTCAGAATTCAAAGTTTCGTCTTGCAACTGTTAACACAGATGCAATTTTTTTTTTCCTATGCAAATTATTGTAATAAGAAATATACTATTGTCTTAAGATTGTTGGTATAATTATAAATAACAATCTGCGTAAACGAAAAATACTTACTTGTTTGTCGAAAAGAGGAATTGTGAAACACACAAAGAACGATCGAGGCTTGCCAAAGCAATTCCATTAAGACAATATTTCCGGGCTGTCAACGGTGCACAGTCTCTTCCCGGTAGTCTCCCAAGGTACAACGATCGGTTGTCGAATATTTGCACGAATATTCGACCCACGGCGAACTTGAACAACGAACGAAACTTTGACGAAGAAAAGAAGAACTATCTGTTAATTGCCGATTAAATTCAGTACATAATTGGCCAGATTCTGCCTTTATTTATAGGCGGTAGAGATCCATTCATAGAGGGTTGCAATGGTTGGAAGAAGAAACAAAAAGTTGTGTCTGTTCTTTTCACAGAGTTCAAACGTAGGAAAATTAATTGGTCATGGGCCAATTAATTAATTAATTTGGTTTGGGCCAAATATTTTATTATTTGGATTTTGGGTCAAATAATTTGACTAACTACTAAATGTCCCCAAAAGTAATATTTGTGGACACCTAAACCGAAACTAGTCCTATCACTCGATCACATCGAATGCACATCTTTTGAACTTTAACCATTTACTCAAAACAATTTTCATTCACTTTACTTCATGATTATGATCAAGTAAATAAATGAAATTAATCTTTACATAATTTAATTAATATTACTCAATTTTAATTAGGGCGAATGACAAAAAGGCTTATCACATGGGACTTAAATGCAGTTTGGTACACAAAAAAAAACAGTCTCTCAATTAAACCCATCCCCATGTTTTTAGTCTAAAATACCCTCCATAATATAATTCTTATCAATTCCACGTGCCCTAAATTCCTTAATATTACATATTGACCCCGGATTAAAACAAATATATCACATTAACCCAAAAAAAAAAAAAATTCACAAAATAATTTTTTTCTGTAATGTTTTCTATCCGGCCAAATTCTGGCGTTGATTTTTTTTTTTTTAAATTTTCTTAGAAAAAAATTATTTTAATTAATATTACTGTCTTGGCTACTAAATTACTGTCTCAGACAGTAATATTACTGTTTGGGACAGTAATATTATGAATATTATTTTCCCGAACAGTAATATTATTAATATTATTGTCTAAGCCAGTTAAATTAATGTTGCAGACAGTAATTTAGCAGCCAATGCAGTAATATTAATTAAAATAATTTTTTTTAAGAAAAAAATTTAAAAGAAAAAAAAAGTTAATTAACAGTTAAATTACTTTCTCCGACAATTAAATAACTGCTGGAAACAGTAATTAGCAACGAATACAGTAATATTAATAAAAAATATTTTTTTAAGAATAAAAAAATTAATTAACAGTTAAATTACTGTCTCCGACAGTTAAATAACTGCTGGAGACAGTAATTTAGCAAAGAATACAGTAATATTAATTAAAATATTTTTGAAGAAAAAAAAAGTCAATTAAGAGTTAAATTATTGTCTCTGACAGTTAAATAACTGCCGGAGACAGTAATTGTGCTGTCACTGACAGTAATATTGATTAAAATATTTTTTTAAGAAAAAACAAAATTATAAAAAAAAAAAAAAAAGTCAACGCCGGAGACCCGGCGGTCAACAACAGTTGACCGGCCGAAAAAAATTTCAGGAAAAAAAAAGTTTTTCAAAAAATAAAAAAGAAAAAGTCTACGCCAGTCAACGGCGGCGACCGGCGGTCTCCGGTGGTGGCGGGTCAAAATTGAAATTAGGGTTAAAATTGGTTAATTGATGAAATTGGGCTAAATTGGGGTGTAAATCATGAAATTGGATTTGAATTGGGTTTCAATGAAGTGGGGGTAATTTTGGTATATATAAAAGGATTTTCCTTATTTGCAAATAAGTTTGAATGGACTGGATTTATCTGAAAGACAAAACAGTTGGATGTCCCTCTTTTAATTAAGTTACCTTATCATGGGTCTATTTGTCATTTACCCTTTTAATTATTGGAAATCATGAAAATTCCAACAGAAAGTATGGATCGTACATTCTTCGGTCGAACGTATACACCAAGACAACCTTGTACTCATCAGCATCTGATGATTCTCGCCCAAACCAGAAGAACAACATGTTAGTGTATATTTTGTCAGTGTATAGTTTACTTAAGTTCAAATCGAGAGTTTTCGATATCCTGAGAGATGGATTCCACACACAGATTCTCATAGCTTTCATTTCTAAATAACAAAACAGACCATCGCAGGTTCCGAGGAAATGTCCTCGAGCCTCGACAGGCATCGGCACCTCTGGGATGCCGATAATGTTGTCCCGGCTGTGGAGATCTTTGCAACAACCGATGTTCTTCAAAGTTCTGATAAGGTGAGATTGCATGAAGATCATGTGGCAGGAAGGGCTCGAAATCGATTTCTTGAGTTGCAACTTAACAAAGTGCTGGCTGGAGATTATTGAATTCCAGTCTCTGCATACTGATTTGAATCTTAGAAGATCTTTAACTGGGAGTCATGACAGAATGTCTACCAAGATTACTTCCGGGAGATGACTCATGCTTGCGTTAAACGACACAAACAACGATTGGTAATGCTTTTGATGCCCTTTTTTCTAAAGTTAAGGGATCAACCAAAAACAAATTCAACTGACGAGAAAAAAACAAACAAATGGATGAATCACAAAAATCGTAAATTGGAAGAAATAGAAGCGATTGAGGAGAAAGAGATCTCTCAGATGTGGCTATATAATTTAAAGTTGGAAAAAATAAACTTCAAATTAGGGCTTCTTACCTTTTAGCATCAACCCTTACGACGGCGCGGATGAGAAAAAAAGTTTTTTTTACATTTAAATAAGGGTTTTATTATTCATAGTGCGTTTTCTTCGATAATAAAAGGTCACATTGACAAACTATTTATAAGCGGTAAAAAGACTTATTTTTCAAAAGGAAAACAACTCTTACCTAGACTAATAAATAAGCAAATTCTAACCATAAAGAACTCTAAAATAATAAATAATAATAAATAATAATAAAAAAACGTGCATGTATATAATTTAAATAACTTGATCTTCAATAACATTAAACTTAGATCATCTTCTACTATTCTTGAACAAAAAGAGAACTAAATGATCATGGTAAAAAAATGTGAGTAATAAAAAAAGAACAAACATTGTAATTCAAGAAACGAAACAAAAAGAATCATCATCCATTTTTTTTAGATTACCTCAGCAGCGAGCTATCGAGATTTTTCGGAGGTGTGGCCGAGACTTTGTAATGCAGCCATAAAGCCATATGGTTTGAGGTTTCGATTTCCATCATACACCGTCGTGATCGCTTTCAACGCCTTCGTCAACAGGATATAAAGATGGCGGCATGGTTCGCCGGAACAGGATAGTGCATTGTCGCGGACACTGCCGTTCCAGTTCCGTTGCAACGTCGCGGCCGGAACGGACACATTTTAATTAAATTGCTAAAAAATACAACATATGTCAAATATGTTTTTAATAAGAACATTACATCACAATAATACGCAAAATATTATTACAATTTCAAAAATAATATTACAACAATCTTGGTAGAACATTATGAAAGTACAAGCAATATTAATACCACGTAGAATGTCGAGCTAGAATTGTGTAAGCTATAATTGAAGAGTGAGACCAAACATTCGTGATTCAGGGGAATCTCCATTCTCCGACGTTGCAACCACCATCTTATTATTTCCTTTTTTTCTTTTATGTTTTTTTTTTCCTTATTTTTTTAGTAAAGCTAGTCAAATTGGTATTTCTCCTTCGGTTGTAGGATCATTTCGTCGGAAAATGAAGCTGCCTTTGTACTACATCGTCCAATTGAGGTCTTTTTCCTGGATGTTTTTTTGCCATTAATTGATCGTATATGAATTCTTTTGTAATTTAGCATAATTTTGCTATTATAATCATCTTACACTCGGTTCTGATTTTTTTGATTTAGTTTTTCATTGATGATTATCTGCAAAACGTAATTTACATGAAAGAAATTAAATTCCATCTGTGGGGGCCACATCATCATAAATTCAGAATTGAACAAATAATTTTCATTCTTTATCATCAATCCTGTTATATTCTTTATTTCTTTTAGTTCTTTACTTCTTTATAATTAATCAAAATATATTTATTATAAGGTTTATTAATTTATATTTTTCTTTTTTTAAGGTAGGAAACAACTGTTAAATTATTTTTCCACATGTCTGCAAGGCTTAAACTGAATTGAATGTTTAAACTCGCCCAAGTACAATAACAAAACATTGATAAAAAAAATATTCTATAGAACAACATAAATTCCCTTTTCTTATTTAATTACGAAAGAACAAATATATATACAATAATATGAAGAACACCCAAAGTTCTCCACTAAACTAATGACAATCGAGGTCCAACGGCAATAAAGTTTGGCCGCGGACGACACAATGTATAAGCAAGTTGGTAAGAAACTACGGCATCAATGGCTGCATATTCAATTTGATCACGATCGAGCTTCACAACGTTCCACTTACTCAGGGTCACGTTCAATGGCTTCTCCATCTTCTTTCCAAGAACTGCAAACGCCATCTTCTTCAATTCCATGTATTTGTGTTTCCATCCCATATATTTGGATCCTCCTTCGTTTCCATTAGGACCCTTAATGTATTTGTATCCTCATTCGTTTCCATTACGACCCTTAATATTCGCCTTGCATTGTATCCACCTTCGTTTCCATCCCATGTATTTGGATCCTCCTTCGTATCCATTACGACCCTTAATATTCGCCTCGCATTGTATCCTCCTTCGTTTCTGAAAGAATTTATGGTCCCGAATTCGTTTAATACAGAGGTGTTATCTTAAGTGTTATGACACTTGTATAAACATGCAGCGGAAATATAAAAACAATACTCAGATCTAAAAATGTTCACAAGTAAAACTTGTGAACTTGCCCTTTAAAGGACGTAAAACTTATATTAAAATAGTATTACAAGAATACAAAGATAAGAAGTACAAGAAATTCTTCCTTATGAATGAATCACTATCTTGATCATTCTTACAACCAAATCTAGAAACAAAAACATATATCCTAAAAACTCTAGATTTCAAAGAATGTACTCGTGAGGAGTACGTAAAGAACTTCTTTCTTATGAATGAATCACTATCTTGATCATTCTTACAACCAAGTCTAGAAACATAAAAACTATATACTAAACAATCTAGACTACAAAGAATATACTGATGAGGAGTACGTTAAGAATGTACTCATGAGGAGTACGTAAAAAAGATTCTAAAAACACACTAAAAATCTCATGTATTCTTTTCAGCTCTCGGTTTTATTTCTTCGAATCCTTAAACTTCCTTGAGTCTTGAAGTCGGTATTTATAGACATTCCAAGCTTCCACTCCTCAGCCCATGATCTGCAAGAAAACCAACTACAAGAGCACTCAAGAACGTGGGTTAGTGGGTTAGTTTAGTAGTTAAGATAAAATCCACAATTTAACCCACTAAGCACTACTTAGCCCACTAAGTATTATACTTAGCCCACTAAGCCATAACTAAAATTTAGTTTGAAAGTAAGAGAGTTAAAAACACATTATGAAAATCAACGTGTTTCAAACTCCCCCCTTTTAACTTTCTAATCAAAACTAAATTTTAGCTGAACTCCCCCTGAATCATTGCTTGAACTCCCCCTTAATTTGATAACCAACATAGCAAAAAAATATGGAAAGATCAATTCAAAAACAAATTCAGCAAAGATAGTCCAACACAATTCAACAAACAAAAAAGCAACAAAAGTGCAATCCTAACATAAAAGTTCAGAGGGAAAAATAAAAACTAAACAAAACAAATATTGTTCATAAAAATAACTTTAAATCAGAATATCCAAAGTCTCCTCAGTATCAGCTGTTGTTCCTCCATCACTAGCATTGGACCCACTGCTTTCCTCTGCTCCTTCAGCTTCACCCTCATTCTTTTATTCGTCTTCATTAACTCCATGCTCTATGCCTCTCGCATCCAAAGGATGAGAAGTCCCTGCTTCAACTTCATGACTAGCTTGGTCTCCCCCTTTTTGATAAGAAAGAGCTTTCAGGAGCATCTCCACCATGGACTGATGATAGGTGATCTGAGCTAGCGAGTGAGTAAGCTGTCGTAACAAAAGATCTCGAGGAATATAAACAAGGATGTCAGGGGTGTTGTCAACATGAGGAGCAACACCTTCAGTACCAAGATTATTTTGACCTGATTCAGTTGGGAGAAAATTATCTCCATTCCATGGGAGATATTGAACATGAGGAGCTTTGAGAAAATTTGGAGAGACAATTATCATAGCAGAATAGAGTAGATGAGAGAAGGATGGGGAAGATGAGTGGATGAAGAAATTTTCTGGGCAAGATGACCAATGTTGTTAAAGAAAAGTTTACCAAAATCAACAGGTAACCCCATCCCCAATTTGTACATAAGGTTTAGTAATCACAGAGACATTTTTGGATGGAATCCAATTCATCACTGTGAGTCTGAACAAGACAGAGTAAAATGCAGTAAGTTGAGAACCTTTGAATTTTTTGGGGTGAGCAGGCCAAGATTTTAGACGATTTCCAGAAAGAGTCTTACAAACCTCAGTAAAATCACCATAACTATCCTCATCAATCACAGTAGGAGTTTGTAAGTGAGAGTTGATAATTTTGGGAGAAGAGGAGAAAATAGAATTTCGCACAAAAACTTTTTCAAAGTTTGGAGAATTTTTCTTTAAAAATGAGGTTTGTAAATTGGCATAAAATTCCTTCGGGATCATAAGGACAGGCAATCTCAACTAGATTAAGGATTTTTCTTTGATCAAGAAAAACAGTGATCCTATGCCTATCAAACTCATCCTTGGAAATTTTATTTTCCTTAATGAATTGGCAATTCATGATTTGAGGACCCATGTTTGAATCATATTCAAAATAAAAGGTAGGACTGAAAGCATTGTTTACCTCAAAATAAGTAGACAGATCCTTCCCATCCAAGTCTAGCTCTTCATCCTCTGAGGGTTACTCTTCTAATGAGTCTTCAAGCTCATCTGGGATGTATGTGGCTCAGGTGATGCAACAGGTGGAACAGCATCTTCTTCGATCTTGGATGAATCCTTAGAAGAGTCACTGTCAGACTCTGAGGATGGCAGATTCTTGCGGAAAGAGGCAAGGGGCACTTCCCAGCTGTCATCACTTTTCTCTTCCTCTTCAACCTGGGAAGGTGGTACATCCACTTGAATTGCTGCCTCTGCCAGAGTTTCCAGAGGATCTTCATTTAGAACTGAGGGTGTAGGAAGTGAGGTTTCTTCTGTGGTGGCAAACTCCTGAGCATCAACAGTGGGGATATCTACATGCTCAGCAGAGGACATCCCAGAGAAGTCTGGCATTTCCTCATCTTGGTAGGGAGAAGTATCCTCAGCAACACTCTGAGGGGCATTGTCTGATACAGTACGTGCAGCAGCATTTTAAGGAACATGTGCAGCATCATCTTCGGAAACAGGATGTTGAGAAGAGGCTGCTGCCATGTTAGGCTGAAGTGTCTCCCCCTGAGTTGATGCTGGTGGAGTCGAGTCTTTGGAAGATGACTCAGTGGAGCTTGATGAGAGAGGTTGGGCTTCTGGTTCTGCAAAGGTAGGATCTCCTTCTTCATCATCTGTTTCTTCATCAATCAAATGTAGACCTCTTGGGGGATTTGGTCTAACTGGAGTACGACCGCCTCTGTCGCCTCTTCTTCCACCTCTTCCGCCTCTGCTGGGAGAGTTTGCTCCCCTCCGGCGTTGTAACCCAGTAGCATTCAGGTATGGGAAGGGATTCATGCGCTTAGACCGGCGAGTAGGAAACCTTCCTGCAGTGGAAGAGGGACCCAGGTTCTGGAAAACATCTGGGTCAATCGGATCCAGCTCGTCGCCGGGCTCAATGTAACTGATCGGCATGGCTTCAAGGTTGACAGGATGAACGATGATGGCTAGACTAGGGTCTGCTGGTTCAGGTGCTGCAGCATCGTTGTGCACATCATCAACGGCCGGAAGATGATTTCTAGGAGGAGATGCCATGGTACAGTGGAGAGAAAGAAAATTGCTTCTTGTGCTTTTGATTTTTGAGGGTTAATTTTCGAAAAAGAAGCAAGAAATTTTATAAGCCCAAATTATTGCGGAAAAAAAATTGAAGTGAAGAAGTGGCGTGCGTTTTTCTTGGAGAAAGTGTGATTAATGAGAATAAAAGTTTATGTGGCACTTTAGAACAAAACGTGACACATGGCACAATAAAGAGTGGACTTAGTGGAAGAAAAAAGACTAACCCATGTACCCCATGACCCATATAAATAGTGATAATTCAATAATAATAATAATAATAATAGTAATAAAAATAATAACGTAACACTCACGAAAATTTACACATAAATAATGAACACATCTTTTAATGATTAATAGTGTGAGAAAAAAATTAGCTAACAGGCATATATATATATATATATATATATATATATATATATATATATATATATATATATATATATATATATATATATATATATATATATATATATATATATATATATATATATATATATATATATATATATATATATATATATATATATATATATACACACACACATATATTATTAGTTTTTTAAACTCTCACTTTCATGTCAAACAATTCACATGGAACATGATCAAGTGTTCAGTTGGAAAGTTCCTCAATTACTAAGATATGACTATTCAGATAGAAGAGTTTGGCTTATGTGATTATGATTGTTCTCTGAATGTTTACATAAAGCATGATCACGTTTCATGGTGAAAGACTTCCAGTTACTTATTTAGAGAACAATATATCACAGTGAAGCCATTATTTAAGGAAGCTAAGCTTTAGTAAAGTATGTTGCAGCTTAAGATGTTTGATGAGGTGCTGCAACATGTTTCAGGACATGTTTATTGAGTACGCATTCCGAGAGATTTTCTAAGTTTAGAGAACCTCTCATAATCTAATGCCTTTGTAAAGATGTCAGCCAGCTGATCTTCTGTAGGAATGCACTTTAAGCACACTATATTTTTCTCAACTATATAACGAATAAAATGATGTTTAATATCTATGTGTTTAGTTCGTGAGTGTTGAACAGGATTTTTTGAAATATCAATAGCACTTGAATTATCACAATATATGGTCAAGGTGTCACTGGTTAACCCGTAATCCCCCAACATTTGTTTCATTCAAATTAGTTGGTCACAACATCCTCCAGCAGCTACATATTATGATTCAGCTGTTGAAAGTGATACACAATTTTGTTTTCTACTAAACCATAAAACCAGGTTATTCCCCAAAAAGAAACATGCACCTGATGTGTTTTTCTATCACTAATATCCCGAGCCAAATCAGAATCACTAAAACCTATCAAATTGGTATTAGTGTGTTTGAAAAATTGAATACCTAAGTCTACTGTACCTGCAACATACCTAATAATCCTCTTCACAGCTTTTAGATGAGTGACTTTGGGATTAGCTTGGTACCTGTCACACACACAAACACTAAACATAATGTCAGGTCTGCTTGCAGTTAGATACATAAGGCTTCCAA